ATACATACATACATACATACATACATACATACATACATACATACATACATACATAGAATCTACATACATACATACATACACACACACATACATGTAAGTTGCACAACCGACATCTTGCTACGATACAATACAGGGGTTGTTGCTGCTGCTACTTCTTGGAGGTTTTTGCTTCTAGTTCCTACTTATTTACTTTTCCTCTGTTGTTTTTGTCTGTCTGTGTGGGTAGTTGGATGGTGGCACTCATGGTAGGTCCTACTTCTTTTCATTCCCTCTGTTGTTTCTGTCTGTCTTACTTGTGACCGTTATTGTGTCGGCGTGTTTTCTTCACCCAAACAAACAAACAAACAAACAAACAAACAAACAAAACAAAAAAAACAAACAAAACAAACAAAACAAACAAAACAAAACAAAACAAAAAGAAAGAAAGATGGGAAAAAATAAGCAAACAAACAAACAAACGAAAAAACAAATAACCCCAAAACCTAACCAACCAACCAACCAACCAACCAACCAACCAACCAACCAACCAACCAACCAACCAACCAACCAACCAACCAACCAGCCAAAACAAGCAAACAAACAAACAAACAAAACAAACAAACAAAACAAACGCAAAGAAAGAAAGAAAGAAAAAATAAGCAAACAAACAAACAAACGAACATACAAATAAACAACCCAAAAAAAACAACCAACCAACCAACCAGCCAAAACAAGCAAACAAATCAAACAGACAAAAAGAAAGATTAGAAAAATCTAAACAAACAAACAAACAAACAAACAAACAAACAAAAAAAACAAACAATCTGCACTTCTCTCCACTGACCCGACAGCCAGCCTCCAGAAAGTCTGCCAGTTTACACATGGGCACAAAGTAGGCGATGTGAGGTTTGCCTGTGGGGGCGGTGCCCCAGTACACTGTTAGCTCTCTCTGCTCCAACACTTCCCTCAAAGTTTTCTCGCCCTCCAAAGTTTCCTGGAAATTTAAGTGTTACATTTAGTTTTAGTAAACATTTTTGGGGCACTTGAAACACAGTATTCTTACATTTAGTTTCAGTAAACATTATTAGATTCTACACGGCACTAGCAACACAAAATTGTTACTTTTAGTTTTAGCAAACTTTGCAACACAAAATTGTTACATTTAGTTTTAGTAAACTTTGCAACACAAAATTGTTACATTTAGTTTTAGTAAACTTTTTTTCGGAACTTGCAGCACGAAATTGTTACAATTAGTTTTAGTAAACATTTTATGGTACTTGCAACACAACAACTACTACTACTACTACTACTACTACTACTACTACTACTACTACTACTACTAC